CCTGCTCCTCCTCTCCTCCTCTCCCTCTCTGTTCCTGACCCCACTAACAGTTTGGAACTGAGGGAAAAAGCAACAGGGATGATATGGTAAGGTGAAATTTAGGCGAATTTATGCCTTTGGAAGAACTACGGACAATCTAGATAAGAAATTCCGATGAAAAATTAGAGATTCTAAGGAAAATAAGAAACTCCAGGAAAAATAGGACTCACCTAGAAGGGCGAGAAAGGAGGCGATTTCAGTGGAAGTAGGTTTTTGTGATAGCATACATCCTGGAGATTTTTCCGCCTTAGTTTCGACTTAGCTGAACTTTTAGTTGCAGAGATACAAGTTACCAAGATTCACACACGTCATCCACGACGATAGATACGTCCGTACCCCCCTTTTCTTTTTTTACATTTTCTTATACTTTTTCCCCATATATTTACTCTTTTTCCTTTTTCCTCCTACTATTTCTTCTATTTACATCTTTTTATCTTAATTAATTCATACACCTTACTAAATTACTGTGTTACCACAATCGTTGTACTGATGAGGTCCAATTGTGATAACGGTAAGAAGTGTATACGACTTAATGAACCGAAACATTTCTTACCTATAACAAATATTTCTTTAGACCCCTTTCCCATTTTAATATCTTTTTCCTCCTCATTGTTTCCTTCTTCTCCTGATATTTTCTTTTTAAACTTTAAAAGGAATTTATTTTCTGTGCGCGACTCGCCACATCGCCTGGTCAGGTTGTATTATTGTAGTTAACGGATTACCCAGGGAAGGTCACCATTGAGGTGGGAGAGACCCCATGGCATGTTTCTAGGGTACCACATGGATTCGGAGAGCGCAGTAACGAGTTGGATGGAGAAATTGCCAGTTGCATCAATGGCGTGACAACGAAATATCGATGACATACAGCTGCTTAAGTATTAAAGTAAGTATTATTGCAGGTTCATTCAATAAAAAGTGTACATCGAACAAGCAGCAAAAATGTCGTACATGCTACCGCATCTCAGCAATGGCTGGCAAGTGGACCAGGCAATTTTGGCCGAGGAGGATCGTGTGGTGCTGATTCGCTTCGGCCATGACTGGGACCCAAGCTGCATGCGCATGGATGAGGTATATTTTTTTTTTATACTTATGTGATTTCATGGATAAAAATAATCTCGAACTTCATCTGTTATTATTTTTTTCGTTATCTCCACCATCTTTTTCTTGTTTTGTCTTAATTTCTTTGTAATCAATTCAACTTCAATCTGATATAGGCATAAACTTATTGCTTCTCGCCTTTTCATGCGTTTTGTGCTGTGCAAGAGCTGCAAAAGATGTGTATTGTTAAGCCTCTGTTTCTGTTTGTGTGTGTATGTGCGTGTGTGTGTATGTGTGCGTGTGTGTGTATGTGTGTGTGTGTGCGCATGTCCGTATACCCAAGTGTATTTTGTCCACACTTTTCAATTCAAGAACCAGGAAACTGGGAAGTTGAAATTTTATGTGAGCCTCCCCTGTTGATGTGTGTGACCGACCCCGCAAATTTAATTTCATCCTTCGCGAGCCCCTTGGTTTCATGTACGATCACATGAAAGTTTTTTGCTGCGCAGAAATTAATAGCTTGGGAACTAAAAAAGCTAGAAAACCGAAGTTTTAAGGCAAGCCCATGCCCGATCGCGCACGCCTAGGTTTCACTTGTAACCACATGAAAGTTTGTGCACTAAAGTTAATAGCTCGGGAACTAGAAAAGCTAAAAAACCGAAATTTTAAGGTAATATTTCAAGCCCATGCCCGATTTCAAAGTATTAAGTTCAGTCCCCAATCGCGCTTAAGCTTATGCATCATATACGAACATATGAGAATTTTGGCGCAAGATTTTTTGCGTCAGAAACGGGCAAAGTAGAAAACTGAAAATTTTGATACTTTCTCCGAATATACAACCCTGGAATTGCAAATTCACCTTTCAAGCATGCTTATTTCTGAGGTACGGATAAGTAGAATTTTACAAGGGGCAGTTTTTAGTTCAGCATATAGACAGGACATAGAGCTAAAATTGTAGAAACAACAAATTCAAATTCAACTGTCACGAACGCGTGCGTCACATTCACAAGCAACAGGAATTTCATATTTTTTACGCACACTAAATTGTAAGTCAGTGGAAATTCTTAACAGCAATCGCCCGCCGGGCAGAACTGCACAAAACGTATGATCGCACCAGTTACCCTGATCCGTGCTTCTATTTATTTAGGATTCTTTTGGTGTGATTTTTATACACATTTTAATGATATGAAGTAAGGTGAGATTCCTAGTCGATGAATTATCTTCTGTCCTAAGGAGAGACTCTTAACTGGTGATAATACCTTGCCCGTTCTGCCCTTCGTTTGGGAGAACTACTGAACCAGTAAACCCTCCAGAAGACGAAATGAACGTCAGGATCATCAGCAGACTGATCATCATCAGATGCAGCAAATGTAAAAGTATTTGAAACAGCATAGCTGGAGAACCAGACTGTAAATTATGAATTATCCAAATTTTGATTAATGTGTGGGGTTGAATGTTTGTCGAAATAGGGTTTATGACCGTTCTGCAAATATTTAGAGTCTAGTGATGAAACACAGATAGTCTACCAATTCACTGCACATACAGGCTTGCTTATTTAAGAGATCTAAATGGCACTACTTGCGCTGTGTTTTCATTAATTTTTTATCAAAATTCGATTGTGTTCCTCTCCACGGTGGGCCAGATAACGCCAAACAAACTGCATATGTTAACACATAGAAGATTTCAGGCTCCCGTCTTCTTTTACTCTCCTAGTCGGGGATATTCACCTTTTATACCTTTAAAATTTCCATAGCTCTTAGAGCTTTACTTGCATTTTTTCAAGGTCAGTTTTTGGTATTTGAGCTGAAGTGCTTCCGTATTTTGCCACTTTTTTCGGAATGTTGTCTCCTTCAATAGGGAAAAACTTTTTGCTTTTTGAATGAATCAGTTTTACCTCATTTTCCAAAGGAAAAGTTGGTATTATTGCCTTTCAAAAGTGTTAGGTTCCTCTCTAGCAATTGCATATTTGGCCACGTGTCTATGGAGGGAGGAGTAATGCGGATGTAAAAAGGGTAACTAGATTTATTAGTTCCCAAGCATTCTAACTGAAATTTTGGCATTCAGCGACTTCAAATGGAGCCTTTGTTTACGAATTTCGCGTGGAAGGCTGGGTAAAATATTGTGCTGGAATAGGATGAAGAAGGAGAACAAGGGTACTAGTCAGGAGTTCGAGGTAAGAAAAGGAAATAGTGGTTGGAGGTGGTGGTTGATGGATGCCCAGATGCCGCTCTGAAGGCAAGAATTGAAGGCATTTTCATGCCAAGAACGAGGAAAATTAAGATGACTGCTGATGAATCACTAAAAGATTAATGAATTTACTAAAATTAATGAAAAACGACCAGTTAACGACTGCTGGTACCAGTTTCGTGAAAGTGGACCTGCAATTGTCCATCCGCTTACATTTAATCCCTTAGCATGGTGTTGGATCTTCATAATCTTCTTCCTTGCAAACGTAAATTTTACTACATCTTTAAAAAAATATTGTTAAATTCAAGAAATTAATTGCAGACATTGTACAAAATAGCGAACAAAGTGAAAAATTTTGCTGTGATTTATCTGGTTGACACAACGGAAGTGCCGGATTTCAACAAAATGTACGAATTGTACGACCCATGTACCGTGATGTTCTTCTTCCGCAACAAACATATTATGGTCGATTTGGGTAA